CTAACCTGCCAGGCGAAACATGCCATTGGTGTCATAGTAGAATGACTATTTTGTAGGTAACAGGTCTTCTGGCTTGATCTGAAGCAGGTTCACAGAAGGAAATACATGAATGGGCCGGGTGGTGGTGGCGCACGCCTTTAATCCCAGCACTTGGGAGGCAGAGGCAGGCAGATCTCTGTGAGTTCCAGGCCAGCCTGGTCTACAAGAGCTAGTTCCAGGACAGGAACCAAAAAGCTACAGAGAAACCCTGTCTCGAAAATCAAAAAAAAAAAATTAGAAAGTATAATTAAGAACAGTCACTGACCATTCGGCTTGTACATAAGTAGGACACAATAGCTGATGATCTTTCAAAGGTACCAACANGGAAGAAAGAAATACATGAATAGCCAAAAGCCTGTGATGGTGAAGGTCAAAGGCTCTAATAATACAGAATTCACTACTGACATTCTGCTACATGTACAAATATTCAAACTGCCTTTTACTGATTCTGAACACACCACAGCTTGCTGTTGGTTTTGGCAAGGGTCTAAGAAACTCTGTTTTCAATGGACAACAGTTATTTCAGAGACTTATACCTCATCAAAAACAGAAAAACTAACTGCACAGGCTATGATGGGAATTACATATCCCCACATCTAAATTGCAGGGAACATTATAGAAGAGGAGATAAAAGATTTAAAAGCTGGAGTATAGGAATGTGACATATGAAAAACTCTTGCCATATGATATGACAATTAGAATTATCAACACATTACAGCCTTGTACACAGCCTAAACTTGCCCAAATTCATGCATGAAATATGAGAAGGACAACAGGGAAGAAAACACATCTACCCATAGATAAGACAGGGCAAGACCAGAGGGTAAGAATGAGCAAATTAAAATGTGCATTCATTAAATATCAATATTTTATTATCAAAATTGAACAAAATTTATAGAAATAATACTTAAGAGGAGATACCAAAGTCTATTTTGGAGGTAGAACTTTTGTTTTTTATGTACTCAACCAACCAATTAGACAAGATTTATACTATCTATTTTTGCTTCTCTTATTTAATACAAACTGAACAGTAAACAATCAAAGCAATAGTTAAAAAATGAAAAAAACTAACCAAGCACAAGAGAGATCATTGAAATAGAAACCTGAATTCACTGAAGGAATAGAGGATACCACCGGAAGAAGGGAAAGATAGGCATGCACATGGAACAGAATGCATTCTTGTGGGAAGAACAGTCTCACAAAATTCATATAATTGGCTCAAAATCTGTGACAATCAAACTACCCATGATTTACTTCACAGGTACAGAGAGGACACCAATACAAATTTACATTACTTACAAATACCAAAGACCCTAAGAGCCAGAGCAAGCCCGGACAAAGAGAGTAAAACTTGAGTCATCCCAGCTGTGATTTCAGATGATACTGTAGAACTAGAGGCACAATAGCACCATGGCAGGGACAGAAGAGGGGACACCTAAAGCACTGTGAGCAGCAGATCCAGAACCAACCCAACCTGGGTGACCAACTGAAAATACCAAAAATTTATCATACACATGACAGCCTCATCAACCTGTGTTGAAGGGAAAGGTTCATATCCACATATAAAAGAATGAAAATAGGTGAAAATCAATAAATTGGTGAAATTTGACTGTGTGAAATTGAAAAAATGTATACCCCAAAGTATAAAGAAACAGCATACTAAATGGTGAAACTTATTAGCAAACAGTTTACAGTACCAAGAAGTTAAAAAAAAGCAAACTAAATATTTTAATCAAGAAATAAACCAAAAAAAGTGACAATGCAAAAAAAGCTGTAGCATAGCCTAAATGTAAATAGCATATGTTCCACACATTTACGGATGAAGAAAATGCTTCTCTTGTGTACACTGACAATTCTCTGCCCAGTCAGTAGCTACACTCATGCTGTTAAACAGCAAACACTAGAGAAAAGACAGAAGGAAGAACACAGAGACCGTGTTCTTCAGTGGGTCTCACTGCAACAGCAGAAAAGTCAGTGTGCAGTTTTATGGACAACTAAACAATAAAAAAGTAAAACCTAGAGCTGGAGAGATGGCTCAGAGGTTAAGAGCACTGATAGTTCTTCCAGAAGTCCTGAGTTCAATTCCCAGCAACCACATGGTGGTTCACAACCATCTGCAATGAAATCTGGTGCCCTCTTCTGGCCCGCAGGCATACATGCAAATAAAACCCTGCATACAAAATAAATAAATCTTTTTTTTTAAAAGATAAAACCTAGTGAAAATACTACTCAGATTTTAAAGGAATGAAATAAATTGCAAACTAGCAATGAAATAGAAAGAGGAAAAGAAACATAATACAAAAAAAAATCATAAAATAGTGTTTATAATTTTCTTCAGTGATTTCTTGAAATGTATATGGATAATATGCACCAAACCAAACATGAAAACAGGATAATACTAAAACCAAAATATATACTAGCCCTAAATAATCCTAAAATCAAAATATATACTTCCTATCATACTTAGTGCTAAGAATGAAGAAACTTTATAAAGATTTCCTGTGATGATGGTTGGTCATGATTATGGTAGGTAACAGGAAAAGACGAATCTATAAGTGTAAAAAACAAAGAATATTAATAAATGATCAAAGGGTCCATTTCCAGAAAGGTATGTGATCAATATGAATGTATTTTACAAGTTTCCAATTACATGAAGCTATCACTGACTGACCTGTAGGAAGCAAATAGATAATGATACAGGAAGCTTCAATATCTACCACTGAGCAAGATGACCATAAACAGAAAACCAATAATGCCTAGCAGCCCTGCAGAGAACCATCCACTAAACATCAGAAGGTGCCCAGTCTTTTCTAACTTCAATGAGCATCCTCTAGTGTGGCCATTTCTTAAAAATAGAGCAACTCCTCGAACCTAGTAGAGATCAATATTTAAAAAGTGTCTTCTCCAAAAACCTAGAATACTGACATCAACATTAGAAAGAGCAGAGAATACAAAAGAGGCATGTGAACACTGACTCACTGAATGCATGCTCTCATTCATTCAAACAGGAAGAAATATAAAACAATGTTTATTGTCTGAAAATATTCTCAATAATTTATACCAAGATCTTACAGGCAGTTTTTCTATAAATGCAGAATGTCAGGAATTCCTAAGATTTATAAAATTGTGAGAAACCAAAAAAAAAAAAAAAAAAAAAAAAAAACTGCAAAAA